AATCATTATTTCCACTAGACATATTTTCAAGGGAGATCAATTTTCAAAATGTCTTTGAATTTAATTTGAAAGCTTAATAATATTTGACAGTGTGAGTTCAGGAAATATCCACTGTAGAATGACACTTTATTTTTTACCATTTCTTAACTGTAAGATCTTAGAAAATAAACTCACACAGCACCATTATTGTGAACACATGCCTTGCTCTGATCGCCACAGATCATGCCCCAGTTTGAAGTTTGCCCAAACTGTAAAAGCTTCTGCACCAACTTCTAATGTCTTCACCCAAAAATGTCTAACTCGATCGTATAAAAAAAACTTACAGAGACCGTTTTTAGCAATGAAAACAAATTATGCTGATAATGTCTACACTTTCAAAGGTGACACAGTACAACTGCTAAAAAAACATACAAGATGAAATGGTTATGGTTGTTAACAATTAGGGAAGGGCTGAGTTCACACAAGTGGTAGTTTCACACATAGTTTCAAGCAGAAAATACAGAGCAGAAGAGACAAGGGGAAATTCCACTGTGACAAAATGACAGACTGACATTAGATAAATAATAATAAGCACAATGAATGGCTTAGACCAAAAGAAGTGAAAACACTGGGTTGTACATACAGAGTGTTATTCTTTTGTATTGTTTTGATGTAATCACTAGATTCTAAGACAGTTATTACACAATAATAAGTATTTTAACAGGAAGCTGTCTTACATGGTGTTGTATTCAAACATCTTCACTATCTGTCTACCACATGCAAGTCCCTTTTAAAACAATCTGTAATTTGTTTGTTTTATCTTTGGTGCAAACATTTCCACTAAAGGAAGAGGGAGGGTGGTATTAAATATTTCTCCAGCTAATTTCAAAGAAGATACATGTCAGGATTTATTACAGAACATTCTTGTACACTGAGCTCAGCTGTTATTTGCACTTTGGTTCTTAAAAAGGACCCGATATCTTAAATCCCTGTGCGAAGCATTTTTGCAACTTAGCCAATGTTTAACAACTGAAATTTAAATGAAATATCAACTGATGTTAATTTTGCTCAGTTAACACGTTTTAAATTCTGTGTCATCTAAAACCATTAAACTACAAATCCTTGCTATTTCAAAAGCACCACCACTTATTCCACTACTCCTGGTGCCACTGGTCATCTGTGCATAAAGCAGTTAGAAGTTGAGGGTTGCCAGATCATGGTTCAGAATCCCCCCACGTGCCGCCTTTTCAATCATAAGTAACAACTAATGGTTGGTGCATAGATCTTTATGGTAACACAGACAGGAGATAAAATGGCAAAATCATTAGAGGGGACCATTCGGCGACACCTTGACACAGGTAGGGAAATGTCATTACTGCCTACACTTAAATCTACACCCATGGACATGAAAACAACAATTTCATAAAAGAAAATCTTGGATATTTAGAGCCTGTTATTCTATTGGTCTGACTTGATCTTAAAATGAGGCTGAGTTGTTGCCTGGCAACTGAGGGCTGGGAGCACAGGGGTACAGTACATTCTGCCTGCCTGAGAGCCAGGGTGCAGAGAAAGACACACACAAACACACACAAACACACACAGCAACATAAAGCTAAACTATGTCACTATGGAGTGCAGGGATTACCTGGCTACCTTGTGTCTACCTCATCATTGGTGGGTGTAAGTTGCAGCCCAATAGCAAACTTTGCAGGGTTAACTAACCTCTCACTGCCTGGGGTGGTGATCCTGTAGAACCGGTGTCTCAGGTGATGCTTGTCTCCATGGTAACAGGTTGTGCAGAGGTCGTAGTTGGTGCATTCAGCACATTTCCAGCGGATGCCTATGATAGGCTGTTGACGGCAGGTGTCACACATGGTTCCATCATGCTTGATGCCTGGGGGGGTAAATAAATCAGGGTTGTGTCATGTATAATATGTACACTGCACATGAATAATAGTACTGGAATAACTTCACAACACTTCGTAATCACTGTGTAAACAATCTGTGGAGCAAAATCACACTTATTCTACATACAATCAGAAGTGATTGTGTTTGAGATACATGATTTGTGCAAAATGGAAGTTGTTTAACTTCTCTACACTTTTTAGCACGGCTATGATAATTATCAGAACATCCTACTGTTATGATATAAATACTTTGAGACTCAATCTGACAAATTCAAGAGCTCTCAGCTCCAAAACAGGGTTTATACTTCAGAATCTATAGAACTAGAAATAACTCAGCTCACACAAACAGTGGAAGAACTATAAACATGATTTATATGATCAGCAAGGATTTCTTCAGTGACTCTGGTGACCTGTTCTTGACTCTGACCGTGTATATCGTGTGTCTCTCACAGATTGTCTCTCACACAGTCTGGTGTCTTTAAGACAGTGTGTCTTGGTTTAATGCAAACTGGGCCAGACTGCGTCCATCACATAGAATAAACTAAACACGACTAATCTGCTGCCTCTCAGAAACACACACACACACAAAGTTTCTTAAACAAAACAACTATTTTAAAGGGCAGATACTTTACGTCACTGTTGTAATCCAACCATTTAAATGACAGCTGAAGTTGATTTTCGCTGTGTGGTGGTCTGATCAATCTATTAGCCCCCCAAAAAGTGAAGCAAAGAGATGCTAGGTGAGCTCAACATGCACCGGAGGACGCTGGTCTTCGATCGAACAAACACAAACAAAGCCAGCTGGTGTAAAGTTACCTGTTGGGGCACTGTCCAGTATCCTCACGTCGTAGGCTCCGGAACAACGGTAGTTCGCAGCCGTCCCGTTATCCCAGACAACAACCACCTCCTCTGGACTTTCAAAACTCCTGACGGTGCCAACATGTCCCTCTCCGCCGTCCTGCTTCCCCCACTTCCAGTCGGGTCCGCGGACCACCCTCGCCCCGACTCCCTCCATCATCGCCCGGTTATTCCTGCCGGTAGTCATTTGCGAAAGAGGTCTCGCAGTTCCACAGCGATTCTCACAAGTTAAAGAGCTAGCAGCCTGAGCTAAGTCAGCTAGGTCAGCTTCCCAACACCGAGTGTCGACGAGACAGGAACAATCCACAAAGCTAGCCTGCTAGCTGGGTAGCTAAGTTAGCTGCCTGTGGAGGCTGTTTAGACAACAAACTACCAGAACAAGCTAACTGAGAGCCAGTGCCTCCTCCGCGTGGCCTCCGAGGTTGAGAAAGTAGTTACGACAAAAGCCCTTTGAGTCGCCACATAGCTAACTTAGCAGAATCTCACAAGCTCCCTGTCCCTCTCCTCCACCCCACACACACAAGAACACCACCTCCTCAACTTGGCTAGCTGGCGATACGAGTTGCTAGCTGTCGCGGCGCTAGCGGGATAAAGCTCCCCGGGTTTCCCCCGCTGAGGTGGACGTGCTGCGCTTTGTGGTTGTTTGTCCTTAATGGCGGTTGAGTGCGGTGCCTCCGATCCGTCCAAGACGTTTCCCTTTGTCGGCCAGACACGGTTCCCAGGAGTCAACTCAGAATGAACGCGTCGCCATTATTGTCAATCATCGCTGAGCCCGAGCAACAACTCGCTCCGGAGGTGACCGACGAAGCCCGAAGACGAGAGGCTGGAAAACAAGCGGAGCTTCGGCCCACGGCGCGCGTGCGCATCTGCGTGATGCAAAACACGATCTGAGTGTTTGGGGGGGGGGGGGGTTCGTCAGCATTAAAAAATAATAAAGCAAAGACAAGAAGATGTTTATGAATGTGATGCTTTCAGCAGTCTCTTTGCAATGTTTTACAAAAGTTAGCAGACAAGTACACATATTTATGAAGAAGTCCGAACTTGTTCAGTGTGGTTGATTTCAAAGACAAAGTATTTAACAAATATTTAACTCCACCAATGACTTAAAGATATAAGTCCAATGTAAAAAGTACCTGCATAGGCCTAATATATTTATATTTGTAAAAAATATATATATGCAAACATTCGAGAAATACTGAATTAATGTGTTTGTTTTTTGTATAATTTTCATTTTGCATGTTTTGTTTTCTTGTTTTAATTGTTGTCTTCTTTGTAAAACACTTTGTAACCACTGTGTTATACAAACAAGCTTCCTCTTCTTCTTCTAACTATAATGATTATTATTTTAGGAATTTAAAGCGCTGAAGGTAATGGAAGCTGACATCAATTCAATAATTCTTAATAACATGCGATCTAACCCACAGAGAAGAAACAGTGGTCTGAATGTGTCAAAGGTCACCAGCTGCTGGAAATATAAAACTTTTGTTAATTAAAGTTAATAATTTGAATATTGATGTATTCTTTTACTATGTATTTATTAAATAATCACAACCAACATTAGCCTATACTGTATCACGACTATTTAAATGCTCAACGCACTGCAAATTAAGAAAACACATGCAAATTCAGCAAACAACTTTTTCACGACACGTGCCACAAAAGAACAGAAAGATACAGAAACGCGCTACTTGAAATCTGCTATTCGTCAGTGGTGATGGAACTTCACAGGGTCAACACTTTCTTGGGTCCCTTGGAAACATCTCTGGTGCCGTTTTTGCTATCTGCAGTATTTGCATGCCTGTGACTTTTTGCACTGCGCTGCACGTGTCCAAGTTTTGAATATGTATCTTCTTTTCTATTTGCATTGGTTTTCTTCAGTTGCAGTGCGTTGAGCTCTCTCTGCCACCGCACAATTGGCCCCTGTGGGTCTGTGTGGTCCCTTGCCATAGTGTCCTCCTAATTAGCTGTATTAATAATAACAATAATGTTTAAAAGCTGAAAGTGTTCAAGTGTCAAATACATGTTTTCATTTACAACTCACTTGTCTAGAGTCATAAATGTTTATCCCACTGACTGCAGAGGCCTCACATCACCTCCTCAGCCGCCAGGAGGCGACAGTGTGTGTGTGTGTGTGTGTGTGTGTGTGTGTGTGTGTGTGTGTGTGTGTGTGTGTGTGTGTGTGTAGAGATCTGGTCAAAGAGCGCCCCCACTCGGCGGTACACTTATATATCTCCTCAACATCAGGTCCCCTTGACTGTCTCCTTCACAGCGGGCTCTCAGGCACACACACACCGCTGGACACCAGCCGAGCCGCCGTTACTCTGCAGGGGGGACAACCGGCAGCTTGCAATGATCTCGCTGGACTTCAACTTCAACATCTTGACCCGGGACCTGTCGCATTATCTGGAGAACCAAGTGAGAGTTGGGCTGCTCGGCTCGGGAGTGGGACTGTCTCTGGTGCTGGGCTTTAGCGCAGCGTACACCTGCTACTACCTGATCTCAGTAGCGAAGGTAAGCACCGAGTGAGATTATGTTTTAAACGGGCTGAGCAGCAGCTGCTGCTGCTGCTGCACCGGGAGTCTGTGCATTCCTCCCCCGCGTTAATGACGGTGGAGGCGGCGCTGCTGTTGTCGGCAGATGGAGGGTGATGGTGACCGGGCTGCATCGCTCCGCTCCGCCGCTGGTGGTGGTGGTGGTGGTGGTGGGGGGGGCTAACGTCTGCACATGTGGGGATGGATGGATCACATCAGGCTGCATGACACCCTTCTTTAAATCAGCATCTGTACCCGGGAGCCACATTTTCCTCCATGCAGCTCTTATGTAACCGCGGGTTATGAATGATTAGCCTCACGGTTACAGTCAGATGTCGGCACCGGCTAAGCTAGGCTAACATGACAGCAGCAGAGATGCCGGTAGGTAGGAGGGTGTTGGTGGGATGATGTTCTGGTGTTGAACCGCTGTCAGTCACTGGATGACCCCCGAGAGACCGAGCATATTACATAATTATAACTATATAACCTGTTGAGAGAAGTGAGAGTTTAATATTAACAAGATGCTAATGCAGATAATAAATGTATTTAGCTAAAGATAAGATGAGATAAAACTTCATTGATCCACACAGATGTTCAGTTGTTACAGCAGCAGCAGGTCAGAATGAGGGAACACATTGAGAAAGGTAAATAGAGGGAAATAAATAACTAAAGTAAAAAATGCAGAGTGTGTTCATAATATGTTTCAAGTTTTATTTGTCACATGCAGTTAACACAGGGTCACCAGTACAATGAAAGGTGTTGGACAAGAAGACACCGGTCAGCTCAGCAGTGTTATAGTTAAGTTCAAATAAAGCAGAGTAGAAAGAGCTCATTATAAAAACAAGTAAAGTACGACGCAATACAAAACAATACACCTTCACGTGAGTGGTGTGTAGACATGTTAGTAAGTAAAGTGCAGTGGCACAGGATGGTTGCACTGGCAAGTAGAGAAAAGAAATAATTTGTACATAAATACACACATATATTACATACATTAAAATGATAATGTTGGAATTTAACTCCAATAAAATGACCTGTACTACATATTACATTACCAGCAAGACCAATACCTTCTCTAAGATGAGCAGTAAAATGACTATATTAGATTGTGTATACATCAATAAGCACACTTGTACAGTACTTGTAATGTGTATATATGTAATAATAAAGCTGAGTGAAGGTTGTGGATTTAAACTGGTATTTACTTGAATGACAAACACTTGATACACAACAAAACATCTTACAAATCTGAGGTCAATCAATTATGTGTTACACCTCCGAACTGTGCTTACATAATGCATATCCTCTACATCCATATATATATTGAACCTTTGTTGTATTTATTTTGATTAAAATGATATATGATCATTATTGATTATCAATTGGCAGGTTCAGGCCACTGTCACATATACTTTTCACTCCATGGTCAATAGGCTGTCCTCAGTAATAATCTTTCCTCCAATTATAGTTTCCTGCCCAAACTTTAATCATGTGATAATATCCTCTATATAAAGTGTTATTTTTAAAAAAAAGTTTAATATATGAATCAGTCTATTTGATGTTAAATCCAGAGAGAATAAGGCAACAAGTTAAAAAAAAAGTTTAAAATGTGAATTTTAGTCATAGAGCAGATGTCATGCCATATAACAATGAAAGAATAATCCTCAATGTTTGAAAACTCAATTTTTGACTCACTGACTGTGCCACAATTAATTTACTTGTATTTTTCAGAAGCCACAGCTCATCTCCGGGGGTAAGAAGTTCTACCAGTTTCTGAGGGAACAATGTCCGGTAGTGTCGGAGACCTACTACCCCACCTTTTGGTGCTGGGAGAGCCGCATCCAGACTCTGCTCAGACCCTTCGTCACAGCCAAACCTGGCGTTGTTTACAGAAAGTAAGTCCTCATCATGACTGACACGCTAATCATCCGTTACACAAGTTGAACATGTGTTTCACTTTGCAAGCGGACACGTTTTACATGGTTCAAATGTACATTTTACCTAGATAAAGCAGTCAAAGGAGTCATAAACAATGGGAGATAGATGTGGAGTGTGCGAGCTAAAAAGGTTCATCTTTGACAAATGTGCGTTTTTAAAGCGTCAGCTGTCTTCTTCTGGCAGTCAGTGTAATTAATTACCAGAGAAAACACAGAATTCTTCTGTTCACAGCTGTATTGAGAAATGTCTAACAGTAGCTTGGTCACTGAGAAAATGCTATTGTCTGTTTCCTAATTTCTTTCTTTCCACTTTCACAACTCGAAACAAATGCCAGTCTTGTTCTTGACCAAGACTCAAAAGCTCAGAGGAGAAAGGATCTTTTGTAGGGCCGCTCTGCATGCTGCTCCATAACGTACATTCTGTTGAAGATTAATTGCCTCTGCGTATTGGCCCCCGCGTGTAAAGGAGATTAAAACGAATTAACACAGCCTTGATTTTCATTACTACTATTTATTACTTATTTATCCGTGTTACCTTCTCACGCAACTTGTTTCATGTGTTACCACATTACATATTTTCCATGTGTACGCAGTATAAAAGTTAACGTGTATTATGTGGTGTGATCAAGTATTGTACTAGGTACTTGGGGTTGGAATAAAAGAACAAATAAATAAATTTCTGTAAATGTAGTTTTTTCCTTATTTTAGCTTTCACATAAAAATAAAACCATAACCTCTACAAAAAATGTAAATTATTTATTTAAAATCAATTATAACTGAACTACTGTTTAATCACCAATATTGTTAATTACTGAAGAAAACCTGTCCTAACAGTCGACCCATTTGAACTTTATTATTTGTTATTCATAATTGTTTCATGTTGTTGTTTTCGTGGCAGTTTTATTTCTTGAATTATACCTGTCATTTGTCCGTCCCAAGGACATTTATGCTATCTATGCCTTTGACACGCTGCTGTCCCCTGAGTCAAGGAGATAAATATTCCCATAATGCACAGAGACTGTATCCGTCCTACTCCAAATCTCGGTTATCAAAACGTGACTGATGGTCACATTCGCTGAATTTATTATCACATTTCCTACGGGGACAACAGGACATCCCCCCTCATAATGAAGTTACCCAAGGTGGATCCAAGGACACGGTGAAAACCGTCCTATTTGTCGTGCGTCTCTCTGTCTGGGTGAAATTTCACTCATCTTGTTGTCCTGAGCAAACAAGAGGCCGCAGGTTTTCCTCCCACCCCTGTGTGATGGACACTCATCATGGGTCGGCCACTCCCTGACGTATAAGGCCCGCCCCAGGTGCATATTTCATGGCGGTTCTGTAATTTCATGCTGATGTCTTTACCGCTGGCCGGCCAAGTTGGCTTGTGGGCTGCTGCCTGTTGTTTGAGTGCAGTGCAGGCTTTAAAATGCACTGGCAATAGGAATGGATGACCTCATCTGCCAGGCTCTGAGTTGTACAGCCCAGAAATTGATTGACCATAAGAGCCCAATGGTGCAGTGCCTTCCTCCTTATCTTTACTCGCTGTGTGTCGCACCGCACACCGTCAAGATAATCACAAGGGAAATGAGGCAACTGTTAGTGACGGTTCCACTCACATATCTGATTCCCTCTAGCAGTGTGTGTGTGATTGATACAATGACACAGTTTACCTGGAACTGAACTGAAAGAGTTTTATTTTTTAGTTGCTAATGACTGTGAGCAGATATGCAATTAAACCCAAATGTAGTATTGGTTTTAGTACTTTTTGTTATCAACATTTTGCTGTTTGTGTGTGTTTAAAGTATATGCATGCATTTGAGTGTGACAAATTAATGCATACACAGAGACACAGATACATGATAATGTTCAGAAAGACCCGCGTTGCTGAGTTGCGTGTCCCGATGGTCTCTGCAGCGAGCTTATTAAGGCAGCAGATGGAGGACAGATCTCTTTGGATTGGTTTGACAACGATGACAGCCTCGCTCATTCCGACCCTGCAACCAGGCCCACGGTGCTCCTTCTCCCTGGTCTGACCGGCACCAGCCGAGAGTCCTACATTCTGCACATGGTCCAGCAGAGCCGGGATCTGGGCTATAGGTGGGTGGTCTTGGCTGGATACCCTGGTCGAGCTCCAGCACTCAGCACACAATCCAGGGCACTGAATCACAAAAAGGACATTGCCTGTGTCTTATGTTCTAATTTACCATTCATCTAAAATACAGATTTCTTGTCCTAGTACCTCTGCAGTTACATCAATGTTGATTAAAATGTGAAACGCCATGTCCACTTTTGTTGTACATTCGTAACTTGAATGTAATGGTTGCATGAGTGAGGGGGCTTTGAGTCATTTCAGGTGAAGTGTACAGAAACAGTGGAGCTAAGCTCTATGTCAAGAGCTCCTTTTTTAAATAGCCAAACGTAGCACAAGCGTGAAGAGATGCAGAGGGAGGCAGTTTTCGCCCCCCCTCTCTCTCTCCCTCCACTAGGTCCTTTCTGTATTCTCTGCACTCATTCTTTCACCCAGATTTGGGAAGGCATGGGAAGGGAGCCGGCAAACTCAGCATCTTCCGCCCCTCACCCCTTTCTGTGTAGCTTAATGAATTACAGCTTATCCCAGAACAAGCTTTGCAGCTTAGCCCAGACCCGCTTCCAAGTCTATGCTGCAGTGTGTGTATGTGTGTGTGTGTGTGTGTGTGTGTATGTGTGTAAGGACTGGACCCCCCCCCCCCCCTTCCCAACACCCTATCTGGCCCCACCCCACTGCTGAGCTACACAGATAGAATCAGTAGGTCTGACTCCCATCAGATAAACGATGACTTGTGAGAGGTGCGGAGAGAGGAGGGATGCTGATGCTCGACAGTATAAACAGAACTGTCCTCGCACAACTGTGCCTCTCTGCACATTCTCACTGCCACTATTCTCTTAAATTAAGAAGCACTTGAATTTATCTTTCACCTTATCAACCAGTCATGATAAATTATTTGTTTACACACAAATAGATATTATTCCACTGAAAATGTTTGATATTTTAAAGATATTTTAAAATCAAAATTCATTCATATTTGTTAAAATATCTGACAGTGTAAAAGAAAGTGACATAAAATTCCTGGATCCACCCCCCGAGCTGGGTCCATACTAAATTTGAATGAGTTTTTCCCTGACCCATAATGCAACCTTCCACCTAGTGGAGTGCAAATCCGTTCTTGCTTACAATCAAACATACGTACAAACCAAAAACACAAATGCCATCGCCATGCTTCCAGAGCACAAGATGACCTCTTCACATGTCCTCACATGACCAACAGTCCAAAACTCACAGATATTTAGTTTACAGTGATTTTTTTGGTCCATTTATGCTTAAAAAGTATTAATTGTTAGAAAATTGTCTGTTTCTGCTCTGCAATAGATGGCGCGATTAAAAAAGTCATTTATGAGACTTAAAATTGAAGAGAATATGTTTTTTTGTATTTCAGGTGTGTTGTATTCAACAACAGAGGGGTCTCTGGTGAAACGCTACTGGTGAGAATCAAACCTGTCATAGTTTTTACCTTGTCGTACTTCTGTTATTTAACTTCTTTTCCCCATAAAGACAGACATGTACACAGCATGAAAAGCACTGTTAAGGACAAATTGTTTTTCTCATTTGTCAGTCTGACAGCCTCCCAGTGGATTTGTCCTTTTCTTTGCTTCAGCCAGTCCAGAGCACGTCTGCCGCACACGTGTCACACGAGCCCACAGGGAGCTGGAGCAGACGCCGAACAGAAAATGTTGTTGCACAGCAGGGATTAAATTGCAGGCGGATACTGTATTTTAATGCCGATCCACAGAAATATGACCTCGTCGAGCACGTGCTGTTCTGACACCTGGCTTAATCTGTCCTCTTACACCCGGGTATATTTAGCCAACAGAATGGGCCCAAGCTCTGATAGCGCTCATGGTACCCACTGTGTTTGATGCCTCCTCCTCGGTATGTCTGCACTTTGGAACAGAGGCACGTTCTTCATGGACGACTGTATCACCCTGAACTAATCATCTCATCGCTATACCACACAGAGATCTCATCCAAAGCACAAATGGTGTGTTTCATTACAGACAGAGTTGCTCACAATCAACCTAATGTTCCTCTGTGTGGGCGTAAATCTGAATCACAGGCTGATCTGTGTCCTGCTGCTCTCTTTGTCATGTTCCGTCCCAGCTGCGATTAAGAAACCGTAAATGTGACACTGAAGCAAAGTGTCACTCAGTTTGTTTTAAACCAGTATTTAAGGATGACAATGGTTGGTCTGATTAGAAGGGTTGGACACTGTAATGTTGGACCTGTATGAAGAGGTGACAGTAAGGAGGGAATTTTCTCCCTTTTCTCAATTCTTTACAAACGATTTAGCAATTGTCCGCCCCTGTGAGTGTTTTCTCTCTGTCCACTCAGTGTGAATATTGCCCATTGTTTAAATAGGCCAGCTCTTTAGAACGAAACGCTGTGTGAAAGGTGCCTCCTGCTTCAAAAGCTGTCCTGAGTGCTTGTCTACTAAAACTTGTCCACCCATAGAAAGTGTAGAAAAAACTGGAATTTACTTTGCTCTGAGTTTCTGGTTGAATCTTAATGAAGGATCTTGAATAGCTTCAGATTCAACCGCCTCCTGAGAATTTGGGCTCTGTCAAGTTAAACCTGGTTTGTAGGCTGTGGTGAGTAGGCCAGCCATATTATACTATTTATTTCCTTCAAAAAGCATAACTTTCACAGTTGTCACAGAAAACAATTTGGCTCCTTTTCAGTTTTATCTTTGTCTATAATTTTCTAACAGTGGCAGTCAGTGTCAGGTAATATGGAAACTAGTTAAGTTAGAGTTCCCCTATTTTCAAGATAGCCCAAAAAGAAAATACTTAAATTGGATGTATAATATGAAATTATTAATTTAAATATTTAAAATGTTCATGTGGAGTCCTCATCGTAATTTAAACAGAAAAATTGGAAGAAAAGAATGACTGTGTTGTCTTCATGTGTGTCTCACCTAGACCCCAAGGACGTACTGTGCAGCCAACACCGAGGATCTGGAGACTGTCATCGAGCACATCCAGAGGTCCAATGAAGCTGCTCCTATCATGGCTGCTGGCGTGTCCATGGGCGGGTAATGAAGCCACTCACATGACATTTCAGTACAGGCAACGATACAAACAAATGTTTAAGATGCACAAGACAATGACACACATTAGTGGTAAATTCATCTGTAACTTAAATATATTGTGAATAATAGAAAAAGTATGAAGAAGGAGCTGTGTGCCATAGAGGGTGATTTTTTACTGCATAGCTATAATCCCATGAATTTAAGAATTGGTCAGATATGAAACATCCCTCTGTCCCTCTCTTTTTCTCCCCATGCACCCTTTCCTCTCACCCCTGATTCCTCTTCAGGATGATGCTAGCCAATTATCTCGGGCGAAAGGGCAGGGAAACCTGCCTGAAGGGTGTCGTAGTCTTCTCAGCAGGCTGGGACGTATTTGAATGCACCGCTTCGCTGGAAAAACCCCTCGACCGTTTCCTCTTCAACTCCTACCTCACCAGCTGCCTACAAGCCTCTGTGCACAGGTCAGCCAAGCTAGCTCACTGCTAATGCTAGGGCCTAAACAGTTCATGAGCTTGAATATCTTTCATTTGAAGTGTTTATTTTTTGTATGTAGTTTTTCTTTTTACAGTTTTAGACCAAAAATATGCTGTTGTATTAATATGGGCATGATATAAATGCACAGTAATGCTTTTGCAGGAGGACTTTGAAATTTAAGCTTGATTGTTGTTTCATGAGGCATTTGAGCTTTTTTTACTTCCACTTAATTCCCATGCCCCAGACACAGACCAGTGCTCGAAAATTGTTACGACATCGATCATGTCATGAAGGTAGGGATTATTTTCACTGACACTTGGCTGCACATGCTAATCTCATTAAATGAGATGGCCAGAAGTTAATCATATTACTCGGCTCCCGCAGGCAAAGACCATCCGGGAGTTCGACGAGCGGTTCACCTCCATAATGTTCGGTTACCCTACCAATGATGACTACTACCACGATGCCAGTCCTGTCCACAGGCTGAAATCTGTGCAGGTGCCGATGCTGTGTCTGAACGCTGCTGATGATGTCTTCTCTCCGTCTCATGGTGAGTCCCAGCATCGTTCGACAAGATTTCCTGTACAATGCTGGCCTCACAATCAAGCTGTTATTTATTTTCTTAAATTGTGATCAATGCTGTAAATGTATTCATAACTAGAAGGTCAGTCATTAGAGCGAATACCCCCACCACAGCCACCTTAAATTCAATCAAGCCACACAAAATGAACACACTCATAGTTATCGGTCTGCTAAATATGCATAATTTTTCATCAAGATCTATTAATTATTCCTTAAGAAATGTTTGAAAATGCAATGTTTGGGTGGTGATGTAGAAACCCCTATACAGCTTCATTCAGATCCACCCTAAATCAAGAATAAAGTCCATGAAAAAGGTAGAATTAATGTATGCAAATGTTTTGTGTGCAGCCATTCCAGTGGAGGCAGTGAAGCAGAATCCCAACCTGGCCCTACTCATTACCTGTCATGGCGGCCATATTGGCTTCCTGGAGGGCCTGTGGCCTCGACAGAGCACTTACATGGACCGGGTCTTCAAGCAGTTTGCAAAGGCAGTCATCGAACAAGGCGGCCATCTCAAAGACCTCTCCTGATAAGAGAACTAATAACAGTGTTCCTCTAGTTTTACTTCCTCACGCTTTTTAACCAATTACTCTTTCTTTCCTTCATCTTTGTCATCCGATTCCATCATGCGTTCCTTCATCCCTTCCCTTGACCTTTATTTTCCTCTGTCTTTCTTGCCTTCCATCCCTCCATACTGCATTCCATACATTGTTCTGTCCCTCCCCTTCTCCAACTAATCCAATTCTGCCTTTTTCCTTCCCTCCACTGACTTTCTTCTATCTTTGCCCTATATCCCTCCTTCCCATTCTTGCTCCACAAGCAAAAAACAGATTATTTCTTATCTGAAGGGCACATCGTATTGAATGCAACATTTCTGTTGCATTCAACATTCGTGTATTTATTCCTTAGTTAACAAGTCACTGTATGTAATCCTACTCTGAGTGGTATGCTAATTAAAAAGCAAGCATAGCTGTTCATGTCGCTGTTGAAAAGCTGAGTCTGTAGTTGCAGTAGCTAGCTAAAAAAAAAACCTGTGGCTAACACAAGTACTGTACATGAAAATCCAATCATCTTTATGCATGAAGCGTCTTTTACTGCACTCATCAGTAGGATTTTAGCCCTCAGGGATTTTCTTTATTTACTCATACCGCTTTCTTTCCTGTGAGCATTATTTTGTTAGTCATACTCCTTTAGTTTGCCTTTTCCAATTTAGATGTCAGTGTTTCAACAGTTGACATACAATAGTTTCTTTTTTTTTTAAAGAATAGTTTGTTTTTCTTGTTTTTTCTCTTGCTAAGAATCAACTGAAGATTAGACTTTTATGGCTAATGGCTTGCGATATTTTAGCTAGCTTAGCCTAGCATTAAGATTGGAACCAGGGGGAAACACCTAGCGTGGCTTTGTCCAGACGTTAAAAAAAAAAACTTCCCACCACAACTTGTCACAAGGTTTTGTTAATGTTGGATAAAGTAAGTCTCGCTGTTTTCTTTTGCTTCCAGCCTTTTATGCTATGATAAGATAATCATGATCTTGTATATGCAGCTAATTAGCTAATCTCTTTTAGCCAAAAGGCTGGAATCAAGGGAAAACCGCGAGGCTAACTTTATCCGCGGTAACACAACCTTGTTAGTGTTGGATAAAGTTAGTTTAGCTGTTTTCCTTTGATTCCAGCATTTTCTGCAAGAATTAGATGCGCATGCAAACATAAGCTAAGCTAATTAGCTACTTATACTGAGAATCGAGCCGTCTTCTTATCTTCTCAACTCCTCTTCCTTAACCTTCTGCATGCACTTTTATTTCCAAACATTCTACCTTTACGCACACCAAATAATTCTACAAATGTATAATACGGAGAGTAACTCATTAATGACGACGAATGTCAAATTGCACTATATTTTAGTTGAAACTACCATGCCTCTTAATTCATTAACGCAAGGCACTTCATTTTATTCGATATATGAAAGTATATCCCAAAGGCTGAACAGAAATATGTTCTAATTCCATGATTTTTTTCTGTGTGAAAATGTCGGTGGTATCGTTCTGTCAGTAAGTCTTGAGGGTGCCAGATACAGTGATGTGGATGAAGCATGGCACAGAGGAAGACAGAGTGTAAGTGGGGGTGGGTGCTGCTTTACGAGATGCACAGTATCGTTGATGGATCCTGGTTGTCAGTCTTTATTTCTTTTGTTTTTTCTTTTTGCCAACAATGATCAAGCGGCTGGCTACCGTGTATGAGTTGGCAGCGGCGAGACGAGCAGATCTGACTGGCAGCCAGGCTTTCAGTGCTGCACTGCATGAGGGATTTTGACTTCCTGTTCCTGTGGAATTTTTTCGGTGTCTGTCTGTTCTGCCAAGTGTCCATGCAGTAGCATGTGTCTCATCCGCGTCATCATGTCCTGAAACTTAACATCATGTCGTAATCTGTAGCACAAAGGACATGCTTTTTTTTCATAGGATGCTGCATTTCATTTTGTACACTACATCAAAAAATGAACATGTGCAGCAATAAGATTTTAAATTGAAGAAGTGTCTCTATAGTATAAGTACTAGTATATGCACATTATCAACACAAGTGTAATATGCTGAATTTAATAAATTATTAAACAGGTCCATTTGTCTGCTGTCTCCAGTGTTTCTGCTTGCAATGTATTTTGTCAGTGTAGTATATTGGTTTGTTTGACTGACTGTGTATTGTTTAGCATTCTCTCTTTCATACTTTCTTTCTTGGGGATTTACATGTTCATGTAAAATCCAAACTGAACGGTTTAGAAAAGCTTGTTGGTTACATGACTAGTCCCAGCTCATGGAGCACCTCCCTCTTGGTCACACACACACAGATTTGACAGTCTACTACTGGAACTGTCATATAGTGCATGACCGGCGTGTCACTACGGGGTCACACTCCCCGCTCCTCTGACATCACAGCATTGGGTTTTGGTCCTGTGGAATTGACTCACTCAACACTCGCATCAGCTTAGCCGCTGATAGGATATGCACTGCTGCTGCAGTGGTGGATGTGATCCACCAAAGGCAAACTGTAATCCCCTGGCACTCCACTTTCCTTCACCCCCAACCCCCTCCACACCAATGAGCACACAGACAGATGAGCTTTGGTTTTAGCGAGATGGTTTATGGAAGCCCGAGAGTAATTAGAGTAGGCTGCCAGGAGGGATAAATGACTTACTCTCGGTTACCATCCATGAAAATTGATATTATGCTGCAGGAATCCCTACATTACCAATATTGGTGATTTCTCTGCTCATGTGACAATGTGAACCATGTGATTATATAGTTATGGATCAGTGAGATAAGAGTTTTATGTGCCATTATGATCTGTGATATTTTTAATCATGTGTTTAAACGTTGTTTAATATTAAGCACTGCATTGCCTGGGGACTCAATAACTGAGAGAAATCGGTCAGAGGGAATTATCAGGAGACATTTTCTCTCTCTACTTCAAATCATTTGCTATCATTTGCTAAACTATTAAATCAATCTCAGAATCTGTGCACCACAACCAAAAATCAACACATAATTAAGAGAAGCCAAAGAAAGACAATGTGTACATATGTTACGGTTGTGGCCATGCAGCAGGCAATTAACCCTTTGCCCTCTGACAAATGAATCACTTTGGGAAATCTGAAATCCTTAGAGACAAGCCTCCTTCGATAATCCTGCACAATCTTTGTACTTTTTCCCAAAAGAGCAATTATGAGGTGCATGAATCAGAATGCCAGCCACTTTGCCCTCTCTTCCCCATCCTATCCTTCCTGCAGCCGGCTGAAAATAGCCTTGTGTTATATCACACAAGAGCCGTAGGTTGGTGGAGAGTGTGCTATTACCTTGCAGGAGCTGAAACAGGGCTGCCCCTGCACCAACAATGCCCCTGCGCCCTCACATCCGGGCCAGAGAAGACCCCAGCATCCATTATGGAGCTATACACTGATAAGGGTCATTGTGCATGGTCACAGCATGGTTTACTGGGGCGCTGAGGAGAGGAGAGACGGCTGGTATGAAATGAGCCTGGGATTTACTCTGCAGCTGAATAAAACACCTGGGATTGAATGCAGAGGAGAGAGTGAGAGGATTATCAATCACAGGCTGGAGACAGGGCAGCGCATGCATCTCAACAACACTGCCTGAGTTCTGTATTAATGCACTTGCAGCACTTCTTTATTGAGCAGATACATGGGAAGGACGCTAAAATGAAATCAACTAGAAGGGCACTCAGAGAACGCAGATGACCGCCAAAGGCTGACTGGCCACTTAATCACTGTATATTGCATATACATGTAGCACTCTCCACTTTCACAAGACAGTGAAAATGTTGGAAGACGCCTGATCTCGTAAGAATCCTGAATCCACACCAAAATTTAAAGGGTTCTTTCTTGGGTCTTACCCCACACCTCCACAAACTTTCATGTAAATCGGTTGAATAACAAATGAATGAATGAGTAAACAAATAAATAAATAACTTAATAACCCTGCTGGTGTTTTCATGGTGATCTAGGTTTGTAGTTCAGTGTTAAAACTTTAAACAGGAAGCTTGTATTACAAAGACGAGGCCTGGAAATGGATAGAAGTCGGCAACAGGGAGCTGTCTTAAAGGATGAAAGAAAGTTGCATTGTGGGGATTGTAGAATGTTGTACTCCTTGAGCTTGAGTTATACTAAGTAAAATTGAGGCTCGAATACCCCTTTGACCACCTCAACACATACTCCATACTCGTGTTTTCTGGAGTAAAACCTTTTCTGGGATGAGATCAATGCAACCATAAAAGCAGGAGCAGTTCAAGGGACTTTGGGGGCCTCAGGGAACCTGGTGGGTCTGCGACACGCCTGCATTAAAAGACATAATGGGATGCCACATGTACGGTGAGAGAGTTGAAATTACGCACATCAAACAAATATGTTAAAACAAAAAACTAGGGTCAAACTGAGCATCATGAAAAGACCACTGTCCTGTTAAGTATCACATCTTAAATTAAATTAAAGAAAAGTATATCTCTTATGAGTTCGATTAATATCATTGATTACAAAGTATTCCAGCAAGTGAGACTATCACAGAAAAAAAACTTGAAAGTTTGAATGTATATTATTATAATTAGAAATTTAAAGAAAACAAGTAAATTTAGAGGTCATTTTTATTACATTCATAAATTTCCAACAACAATCGCATGGCTCTAACGTCATATGTTCACAACCCACAACAACGATGGTAAACATGAGGTAGATCACCCAGACACCAAAGCTACTAATGGGCTGTACATGGTCATCAAACGTATTTCAGTGAAGATTGTGAGAGCAAGTTGCATATTAAGTGTTAAATTATCAAAAAGAAGAGAAAGATACATTCTATGGACCATTGCAGTTTGACAAAAAGAAAGTTTTGATCGCCAGTGTCATATTTCGATAAGCAATTCTGAGGGGTTGGGGAATTTAATTTAATTGTTTTGCTGATATGAGATTTTTTTTTTTCTGCTGGCAACTTGTATAGTGCAAGTTCACACACCCCCCCCCCCGACATTCAGTAAATCTACGCATCATTCTTTGGGTCTTGTGCAAAGCCTTCATTTGGATGGTTTCTTGAGGAGGACACGCTCCCTCGGCATGCAATAAAATATTACACTTCAGTATGATTATCAGTCCAAAATGCTTGTCAAATAAATAAGAATCCCTCGTGGACTTGACTTTCATTTTCAATCAAAAAAGATCCAACAACAAGAACAGGGAGGGACACAGACATATGGTTAAGGACACATCTAGGTAGATTCTTCTTGCCTTTACAACACAACATAAAATGCAGAAAGACATTTTTGACCAAAGAAAATACTGGCAAAAGTTACACGAGACTTAAAAAAAAAACATCAGTAACCCTCAGCGGTTAAGGGGGGGGTACAATATATTAATAATGTAAACAAAGCTTTAAACAGTACAGTAGTCTGAAATCCAAGTCTTTCGTTCACACTGACATCTCTTCTCCTCACAGTTCAATGGTTTCTTCATTCTCATTGATCCGAAAAATGCGTCAAACTGGGCAGTGACATTGTGAGAAGTCACTTAAGGCATATTCTTTGGACAACCCTGTGCAGAAAAATACTAAAACATTCGACTTTCAAGTACATATGTATAATTGACCTGGTCGGGTGCTTTTGACAGTGTGTACCCTTTTCTTTGATTATACCTCCGTGCTTTAATGACGACAGAAGGTTTTGGCAGTGAAGAGGCTTTTTATATTTTATATTGCATTTGCTGACTTTATCTGATTATGCTGAAAATGCCCAATATTAAAGCCAGTAAATGTCTTTTAAATGCAACATATATGACATTTGGAATAAAGCTCCATGCTGCTCCATCTGATTGACTTTTGGAGAGCAGACCTGTTTTGTGTTTAATCCCTAAGGTAACATTACTGCCCTGCCTCCTTGAATGGACGCAATTTGTACTTTTCTTCTGTTATGAATTTATTCTTTTGGATGAAATCATTTGGAAAATACCATCACACTCACTCTGTCATAGCTATTTGTCAGAGGGTGCCACAGTATTTGAGAGTCACAAGAGAAGAAGAGTGTGCATTTTGCTTAAATAGATTATAGTTTGGTTCACTGGTGGGACAGTAGAATCTGATCCTCTAGATGATAGAAATCCCCAAAATCCAACCTCTTGTGTTTGAGCTGATTTTTTAAACAGGGATGATCTTCGTGGAGTTTTAGAGGCAGAGCAGGTGAGAAGGGACAAGGAGAAGGTGCAGTAGAGGATTTCTTTGGTGCCAGCGCGTTAATGCCAAAAAAATACACTGTGAACGGGGAGAAAAAGCTTCAACCCCTTTTTAAGCAACCACCATTTGATCTCCCTTAAAAACCCTGAGATAAACACGTACTTTATGTCCTGGATGGGACACACTGTAGTCACAGTCCAGGTACACATACAATCTTCAAATTGTCACATTATCCATCGAACAGCGTCCATTTTTGCCAAATACAACAAAAACAAATCATGTTCAGTTTCAGCTGTCAGTGAAACACAAGCTCAAGTAGAGACGAGTTCAGCTACAAGCAAGAGTTAAAAGCTTCTACTGGCCCCTCTTCAGAGCCAGGCATAGTGCACTGTGGTAGTGCAGATGAATAAAAGCCACATCGGGCCACCATGCGTCCACAAACTCAGCTCCAGCAAATCCTGCAGTCGGACGTCTGGTTTGGAATCAAATCTACCCTTGTCTGTGATTGTGCTTCTGCAGCGGAGCGGCAGACCCGACCATGTTAACAGACTCAAACATGGCGGCCAGTCAGGAAGTAGAGGGGCCGATCCTCGCTGCAGTTGGCGGTCTGAAACTCGTCGCGCAGCCGAAACTGCCACTCGTCCTCCAGCTCGAGCCGGACTATGGTCTGACGCAGGGAACTTCGATCCTGGCAGATCACACAGAGAGTGGCACCTGTGGAGGTAAACCAGGGTCAGAAATATCCGATAGTAGAAAGGGCAGATCAAATTAGAATGCTAGTTGCTTGTTAGACCCACCAGGGCCAACTCAATAACAACAGACTGCAGAGGCACCTCACCTTTGAGGAAGCGGAATTTCCTGAGGAGTCCCGAGACGACGAAGGAGTCACTGAGGTAAAGCAGAAGGCCACTGAACACCAGGCCCTGATGGTTCAGGTTGGTGGAGTGTGGACGAGAGTTGAAGTAGCACACGGAAATCTGCGACAAAAGATAAAACACAAGAAACTAAGTAATTAAAGAAACTTGAAATGTGTCCGTATTTTAGGTCAGAATTAATGAAATAATCTCTATGAAACCTTTGCCTGTGTGCAGCTTTATGAGCTAATTTAAAGGTTGCATGGTGTGCAACTGGGCATCATGATTTATCCCCATTACAGGAGAAACATAAGAAATGTGCATAGGTGTGCAGAGTGTGAACACGTCATCTGTACAAATGTGCAATGTTTGCATTCCCTGTTTGAACATGTGCTTGGATGCAGGTCACAATGTCCTGAAGCAGAACAGATGCTGAAATCATGCAAAAGGCTTCTGGGTGTTAAGAAAATTCTTCAGGCCTGTGAGATCATTCCAAACAAACCTTTTAGTCAGAATTAACACCTTAGTGTTTACCCCAGAAACAGTCTGTTCAAACAAATCAAATTCAGCATGTGTTCTGGATGTGAAGTCTTCCTGTAGGTTTGAGTTGAAGGGATGATAATAACAGTCTTTTCTCTTCCTTTCAAACTGTGACCTGCTGTGAGCTCTTACCTCCGGGCTGATGTTGAGGTAGCTGTCGATGGACAGAACTGGGTTGTTTCTGTTTTGAACAGCTTTTGGAAACAGTCTGTGGCTGCAGCTCTGCAGGAACCTTTCAAGCAGGAACTGGGCCGGGGCATCTAGGAGGGTCTGCTCGCTGTCTGGGGCGCAAACGTACTGGGACGGGCTGATTGGGGCGGGGTTTTCTATTTCCTGGAGAGAGGAAGAAAGTAGTTAAGTGATCAGATTAGTGTTTCATATTGTTAGAAGATAAAATAAAATCTGAGAAATGTTGCATCAAGTACCATGAGCTTAGGTTTGACCAGGAAGTCTTTGTTCCCGCCAGTTGGAATGTGTTTCTTCATCAGGCTGAAGTAGTTGAAGCGACACAGCAGCAGCCCACTGCTGTTCACCCTTAGATTAAAGTCCACCTCTTCACAGCTATACCTGCACGAAAAACAGCCAAACCAAAAACATCAAGACACCGCACACATCAGTGCAGGCGTACGGAGACACACTCTTCTGCTAACTTACCGATTAAGGTCATACTGAACATTCTGCGTCAGGTCCACGTTGAGCATGACAAAGTCGTGGAGATGACACCGACTGAAGGGGTGGCTGGGAGACCTGCGAGCCAGGTTGCTGCTCCACTTGCGAGTCCCGCACATGGCGTACAGGGAGATCTTTGGCGTGGACTCCATGTGCTGCAGCACCGTCTTCAGAGACACGTTGATGAGGTTGGAACTTCCATCTGATGACTCACTACGAGAGACAGTACACAAACTTGAGAATGTTTTATTGGATTATACAGTTTAATTAGAAATACTGCACTATGGTTGTATGCCTCTGCCAGTTACAGTCTACATATGTTTTTTTCCCAGACTCATATGGTAACTGTGACCTTTAAAGTTTGTCCACTGTAATCTAATCAATTCATCTCTGAGTCCTGAGCAGTTTTCAGACATGACCTGCAGTTAAAGTCTGAAGATTTGCACAACCCAGCGCGAGCAGCCAGGGAACAGAAGCAAATCCTCCGCATTATTCAGGCAAGAGGTGGAGAAGCCAGGCGCAGCAGACAGAGGCAGGAAGTGACGTTCTAACAAATCACCACAAACTCTCTTGACATCTTTTTTGATTTCTTGTGCGTGTATGGCTTTCCTTTTCAGCCAGGGATATTAGCTTTCTTTCTGTTTTTTGCATCTGTCGTCTGTTAAAAGCATCATCAAACCCCAGGACTCTTACAAATCCCAAAGAATCAGTACCTGCTGTCCGCTGACTGGTGGACGTTCCACAGCACGCAGGAGTCGTCCATCATGACGATGAACGGCCATACATCTTGCCTCTTGACACCTTGCTCCTCTAGTCGGTTTCTCTCCAGCTCCAGGTTGTGGTATGACAGCTCTTTGATCATGAAGCGAGCAGCACCTTAAAACAGAGGGGATCTCATGCATCAACATCTCAACAGAACTTTCTCAATTTTTTTTTAAATTCCCACGATGCCCTTCGACATGAAGACAGAGCTACAGGAGGTTATAAGTTGTGCAAAATCAAATATAAAAGCTGAATTTTGACCTTTCAACTGGGTGTGTATGTTTTACAAGTTTACAAGTGAACTCTTTAAGTTGTAGCAAGTCAGGGCTGTGCATGAATGGATCTATATACCAACATATATGTGATGCGGCCACGTTGACACTGAGGGTCAACACAAAGAACAAAAGTCTTTCAAACTCACTGAACCCTTTGCTGTCAATCATAGAGCAGTTTATCTTCATGTCAGACAGCCCATAAGCCTCATTGGCTGATTCACAAATCAGACTATTGCTCTGCCCATGTTTCATATGTGATGCCTCTCTCCAGTTGGTTACAAGAAAAAATTACTTTTCACCTACTAACTGTAAAACGTGACTGACTCATTATCAGCAGGGAGATAAGTTGCATGTTGATGTAGACTTAAAGGAACAGAGAGGAGTTTTTGACCACTAGTAGCGCTATTGAGCAGCGTTTTCATAATACAGATGGGAAGATTGATACTATTCATGCATTTTGATGAGAAGCATTAAAACTAATTAGAAAATTACTTTGTTCACCAAATGAAAACATTGTACTTTATTCAAGTTGACTTTTAAAAGTAGTAAAACACTGGAAATGTAATTCATTGTGGTTGCTTGAGGTTTATTCTAAAGCCACTTCTTGTACTATATGATTTTTCTAATAATCCTGATGATAAATGTTTGTTATTTGTCCTAAACTGATGGGATGGGACAAAATGTAATTCCTGCACATAGTTAGGATTTCTCAGTAAGTTGCTCACCAACTCCGGCATTGTTGAACATGGCCGGCAGGACGAGCAGGATGTGGTTCGCCCAGTACTTCCTGTAGTGCGGCATCTCGCACTGCTTCACCACCAGGATGTGCACATGGGTGGCGCCCTCCATGGCGTGAAAGATGTTGAGCAGGCCGTGCTCTTGGTGTCCAGTGGTCGGCGTGAAGATCGGACTCTTCAACATATTGGGATCCTACGCACGGAACATTTGAGTAGAAGTCAAACTACAGCACAGAGACACGAACAAGCCCACCCTCTCTGTTTGGATGTATATATATCGATAGTGGGCTCAAACACGGAGAGGTCAACTGACCTTGCTGGAGACCAGAGGCAGGCACATGCTCTCCAGGTGGCTGCCCTGCTGACTGAAGACAAAGTGCTGCTCCTTGGCTTTGGGAATGACAAACTGGAGCTGGACCTCCTCCCCCAGCATGGATGAGCAGAAGGTGAAGGCATGAAAGGTGCACTCCGACAGCTACAACACACACACACACAAACATATGCATTATTAACACAGAGAGATTACCATTAGAACTAAGCCCAAAGAGTAAAAAGCTTTCGAGTGTCAAAGCATTTTGACAGCTCTGGATATATTGTATAAGCAGTTGAGTGCCTCAGTTGTTTGGTCTGAGGACTGCACTCACCTGCATGGCGGGGCCCGCTTCACAGTAGTGGTGACACTGTTCGCAGTGGTGAAAGGCATTGTGGGCGGCGAACCTGCTCAGACGTATGGACTTGGTCTCTCGCTTGGCTGGTGTTTGGCCCTCGCCTTCCTGATTCAAATCTGCAGACGCACATATAAATAATCCAACATGCATCAGTATGCGTCAGTATTTTTATCTGCAATGGTAAAGTTGATTTGAGTGCTACTGTTGAGTGTTTGCATATTTCTGTTGACCTTGTAAGACCTTTGGCATCTTATGAGAGAAGACAGGGCTGGCCTGCTTGAACTTAGGGTCTCGGGGGTAAGGGTCAAAGGGCAGCTTTCGAACGTCCTCAATGTCCGGCCACTGGGTGTTTCCTGGAGTCGTTACCTCTGATGTTTCTGAACATGAGAAGGACGTGAACGGATGAGAATTTAAACTAAATAAGAACTAAAAGACAGATCTGTCATTATCTGATATCAAAATGATCCCTTACCTTCCTCTTCCTCCTCTTCCTCATCATACACATCTACCTCCAACAGTCTGATGAGCATCCGAAACAGGATACGGAGAAACTGCAGGTAGGCTCCGGTTTTACCCACCTAGCAAAGGATAAAATAATAATCCCTGATCTTAATGTCCCGGATATGAATTACCTATCAACACACATCTAGAGTTTCTTTGTTAATTGTCTAGTAATTAGATTAATTCACACTGTGATTCAATCTATCACATGATTCAGGGGGAGTTCTTTACCTGTGGGGGTCCGCTGAGTAACAAACGTCGTGGATGCGGCACAGGCGGAGCTTCATAATCAGCATGATGCTGCCTGGTGATGGTCCACTGGCGGTAGTACATGCTCTGCTCTGCCCCCTGCAGGTTTTGAGTGATAAGGGGCCTCAGTGGGCTGCTCCACGCTACATCTGCGTGAGGCAGCAGGGAGAAGGAGCTCAGCTGACTCCCCGACTCGCCCGCCAGCAGGTTGTACGCCGCCCGGGACATGATGACAGTCCGCGGTGACACTCGAGCGGGCTTGGGGTCTCGGCTGTACTGTGTCGATTGGCTGGGCCTCTGGGTGGAGGAGGACGATGGGGAGGGGGAGGAAGAAGCGGAGCTAGAGCAAAGGGAAGGAGGAGCCTTGGAGGCTTTGGTGGGGTTTGTGGAGAACTGGCTACCCAGTGAATCACACTCCTGCTTGAACCCTTGTGTCATGGTGCCGATGTCTGAGATTGCAGGAATTTCGGTGAGGCAGGTGGAAGTGGAGGGTTTCTGGAAAGAGTCCGCAACATCAGATGAACTGACTCTGTTCTCTGCCAAAGAACCTGAGTGAAGACATGGAAAGAATGAGACATGAAACATTTCCAAGTTTAATGCTAATATTCAGTATCTCGTGAGGCGAGAGACTCACCTGATGTTCTGGTTGCTGCGCTGCCGTTGCTCTGAGGTCTTTCCAGCTCATCCCCGTCATTCACGCTGGTGGCAGCCTTTTCTCCATCTGACTCCCGGGGGCCCTTGGCCTTCTTGGGCTCCTGGACAACACCCATAGACACATGAGTGCAGGCCAGACCCACCTCCTGCTCCAGGGACGTACGAGTCAGGTAGCTGGAGTCTATCAGACGAAGGTCACTGTATTTCAGAGACCTGGGAGAGCACAGAGAAGAAGATTGTTACTGAGAAAATGAATAAAGTTGTAAATCTTGTGTCCATGGTTTATGAGTTGTAGGGTAACTGTGAAGTATGACTCTACCTGGGGAAAGTCTCTCCAAGAGGGTCTTTCCCTGTGAGGATGACGATGCAGGGCAGCCCTTCCAGATCCTCGTAGGTGTGAGGAACCCAGTCCTCATTCTCACAGCCTCGCCACGCCTGCAGCAAATCACAAAAATTGCATAGTGTTTATTTTAGATCCAACTTTATTATCATTGCACATAGTACAAGTACAACAAAATGCAGTTTAAATCTACTTTAAACATCGTTTTATCAGTCTTTTATCAGTCTTTCACATGGGTCTGATTTTCTAAACTCATCTTGCTTGAATAAGCTGGAATCCCTTTGTATGAATATAATTATAATATGAATAACATATTTTTTAGAACAAATCTCACCCTGAGACGACTCGTGAAATTTCGGTGCAGGTTGAGTTCAGAGGCCGGACTCCCCAGCAGCACGGCGAAGCACAGCTGGAGCCCCAGCTTATCCCTCACGTCCTCCAGTCGTTCCCTGGCCAGCATCGCCAGCTGCAGCGAGGGGACACGGACCAGCAGCATGTGGCCCCGCCCCTGGGAGCCCTCTCTGCTCGGGGCATTGATCAGGTCCTCCACCATGGCCAGAGTCTCCGGGGTGATGTGGTCTCTCAGGGACGGGGAAGAGGTCAGAGCCATCATGGCCTCAGTGTACTGTTGAATCAGCAGGTAGCTGCGGATCACCATGCTGTGTAGGTGCGGATGTCTGTGACAACAAATGGGATTGTTTTTTTATTTTAGAGCTTTTCACGTGTGTTTATACAATCCAGAAAGCTTCTGTGGCATTTGACAAAAGAGTATCTGTGCAAATGTTTTTTATATTTGGGTAAAACATTTATTTTTAGCTGTGTGAAAGATTTACTGCTGGATAACGAAAGCTTCTCTGCACTGTTGACCCCACACTGACCTTTCCAGCAGAGTGTGGACCATCTTCTCAAATGCATCATCACAGCGCAGAATGGGACTGGCCACGCCCCACTGCAGGGAGCTGCTGTAGTCCCTCAGGCCAAAGTAGACCAACTCGTGGGCGGACTGCTCTCCCTGCTGGAGGAAAAGAGTACACGGCTGAGTGTTCATGGTAGAATGCATCCAGAAAGAACCTGTCCTTAAGTGCCCATAGTTTAAACTTCTAAATTTAAATGTTGTCAATTCAAGTTCTCATCAAATCACTGCTTACAAACCTTATCGGCGAAGTAAAATTACGTATTTGAGATTTTTATAGACGAAGGGGTACAATTTTACAATAATTCACAAAAAAATACAAGAATTAAAAGAAACAAACCAAATTCTGTGCATATTTTTTCTGCTTTCTTATCCTGTTTAATCTAATTAGCATTTTATTGGCAGTTATTATTTAAATAGTTGGATTCATGGATCAATTCTTATATATGAATAATAAATAACATGGCATAATAAATAATCTTGTAATAATGGACATTGTTGATGACAATGTTATGTATTAAATGTCAAAAGTAATATGTTTGATTTCACTTTATTTTTATAGATTGAAAAGTGTTTGGGTATTTAGAGAGACACTTATTATCATTATTATTGATATTGTTGTTATTATTATTATAGTACTAAATATAATGTTCAATTAATTGAAGCCATCACTGATTTCGCTTTAAAGAATCAATGGCTAGAGAGTGCGACAGATGTATTATCTCAAGCAGCAGTGAAGCCCATCTTCCAGTTGATGTAAGTGCATTTTTTTCCACTAGGTGGAGTAGCTACACTACTTCAGTTATGAACTAGCCTCTGCGAGGTATGATGAGGCTGTAATTTCACAAAATTTAGAATAACAGTATCTCAGATGCCAAAATAAGCTTTTATAACTTTACTGAACCAAAAAGACTTTGATTTTCAGTAATATTTCTAATTCCACTGAAACCCTTTAACTTAGAAATCCATGTGGTTTCTTCTGTGTAAAGTAAAAACGCTCACCAGACTGTTGCTGGACGGCCAGTGAACCTCGTTGTGGATGCTGATGCGGGACTGACGCGTCTGCAGCGTGTGTGGGAAGCAGCTGACCTGCAGGACCAACAGGTTCATGGCATTGAGGACTTCCTGGCAGTTCACCACCCTGTCAGCCAGACCCTGCAGCTCGCCGTGGCACACAGACCCAGACAGAGCGCTGCAGACAGAGAGCGGGGTCAATTGTTGGATATTTTAGTCTACCATGTTGATAACATTTTAGTCTACCATGTTGATAACATTTCAGAAAAAAGAAATCCATTAGAGACGTGGTTCAATCTCGAGGAAAATGTTCTGGCAGGAAAAACAGCAGTTTGCTCAGAAAAATCAGAAAATCTTGGCAGGAGCAGGAACAGCATCCATCTTTGAACGGACAAAATAAGCAAAACGAGCAGGGGTCTCAAATGATGTGGGCAACATTTCTCCAGAATTCAAGGTTAAAGAGTTCCTGTGTTAGTTTTCACTTGCCTGCAGCTGCTCTGCTCTCTTCACTATAAAAGGAACACAGTAACGTTCGCAGCCACAACAGCCTCAGATTATCAACAAAGTAAAACAAAGTCAGTCTGGGGTGGGTGTACCTTGTGAGGTCGACGTGTGAGTTGTCGTGAATGAGAACAAACAGCGTGTAGGGGTTCTGTTTGACTTTCCTCATGAAGGCCTCCATCTTGGCGTGAACATCATTGTCCAGACGCACCACATACTTGTCTGATTTCTGAAAGGCTGAGGAGGTGTCCTCGATTCCCAGGTCAACAAGCACTCCTACGAAAAAGAAAAAAAAAAAAGAATGACGACACAACTCAACTTTTTAACACAACCTCATGAAACAACACTGGGATTGAAAGTTCTGAACAGGATGAACACAGACCTGATTGTCGGATGCGTTGTGCCGTCTGGTGTACCAGAATGTGAGAAGGTGGGACCAAAACAAGGAAGTCCACTTTACAGAAGCGACCCAAGTCGAGGTTCTGGGTCCCAGAGTCTGCGATGGAGCAGACTTGAGAGAGGAGGCTGCGGGCCACACTCAGCTGGGTCGGATAGATCTGGAACACCTTACTCAAGAGCTCTGCTGCTGGAAAACACAGACGGAGGAAAACGTTAACAAAATCAACAAAGGCATAGAATTGCAAGTCACAAAAAAAGTGATACAGATATTTAAAATGGGGAGAACATGGATAAATGTGCTGCAGATTATAGACTCAGGGCATTTGGGAGATATAATCATATGTTCAATATATACTGATTGTTTTGGTTGTTTAAAAAAAAAAAAAAAGAGTCCCTGGCTACTGAGCCCAGCAGTTGAGTTTACTCAGTGAGTATGATGTGTGTCTAACCTCTGTCTGAGGGCGGTGACATGCTGGCAGCCTCCTGCGAGTGGATGTGGTCAGTGACATCCCCCTGAAAGGGCTGGATGACCTGTCCCTTCCGTCGACGCTGGTATCGCACCAGCTGCTTGTCCAGATTGTCCCCTGAAAAGAACCAGTCACCATAGTTACACATAGACACGGAGGCAGGGATGCAGGTTATGGCCGCAAACAAATATTCCCTTTTTTACTTGGTTTTAATTTATTCTGCTAACATTCATACAATTCACAAGGATTCACTGCATACAATAAAATGCACAAAGATGTTTTATTGTGTGCAGGACAAACCTAATGATGTGGTTTTGAAGTGAGACGCCAGGACGCTGACTTTCCCTGTGATGAGCTCATAGCTAATTTCCTTCAGGAACTCATTAGTTGTCAGCATTCCTTCAGCTAAGGCCCGTGCTTGATACTTTCCTGCGTTCAACACAAATTTTTAGATTTAGTTATTGAAAATGCAGAACAATGCACAACTTAGTGGAGGTGATAAGGTAGTAGCAGCAAAACTCACCCAAAACGAGCACACAGAACTCGTTGGTGCTCATTTTCGAGGCACATATGATGACCACATATGTGGGCAGGCACTGCTGGGGGTGGGGCCCCTCGCTGAGAGAGCGCAATGACTCGGAGATGCCCTCTCCCAAAGAGTTGTGGGTAACCACGACTTGGACGCTTCCCCCGGAGACGCTGGCCTCCAGCCGAGCCAACCAGGGCAGCTGGGACAGTGAGATGGCGGGACCCCCAGGACAGCACAGCATGGCCTTCAGGACGATCTGCTCCAGCTCCTCCCGCAATGGAATCTGATTTGGGCCTGAGGGAAAAATTCAGAATGTGAAAACTCAAACCTCTGACACACCTCAGCTCACCTCAGTCCTGATATAGAAAAGGTAATACATGGTCAAAGTTAGATATTTGTTTAATTGTTTAAACAAGACATGAGCACCTCACGGTCATCAACCCCACTCCTCAGCTAACAGGCAACAAGTTGAGTAAAAACACAAAGAGGAAGGATATAAAGAGATGTGTGCTTTTGCGTTTGCTGCTCACCTAAACGTGCAAGATACTGTAAAGTGAGCAGAATCATTGTCTCCACGCTGAGCAGCTGATTCCTGTTCAGGCCCAAAGTCTCCAGGGTTTTCTCTGTCAGCTGGCTGCTCTTGTAGCAGCTGACCAGCAGGGGGCTCACCACTATATCCCCAACATTCCCATAGAAATAAGGTAAAGTGCCATGTCCTGAAAAAGAGAAGCCTTCATTAGACAAACCTGAAACACACAGAGGCTAGAAATAAATGATATCGAGCACTAATAATTATATTTACCGTAAGGAATTTAACGCTGGTTTTAAAGTTGTTATAATATAAAGTTGATTTTTAGAAACCTTTTAGCAGTAAGTCTCAACAGAAACATCACAATTCAAAGTAAGTTGTGACACCCGAATATGCACTTGAAACTTAGATATACATTATAATCCTGCATGAGTGTGATATGTAGCTACAAGCTGAATCATTTTTTTAACACATTTTTATGAGCTAAAAAAGAGTTAAAATAACTTTTATGGTTTGGCGATTTGTAGAAAAAAAGCAAACTACCAATACATACACAAATACATTGTCTGACCTGTAAAAATGTAACTGAATTTTTATTTTACTTTGTCCTGCTCTGTGGTGAAACAGAATTTGATTCTGTTTTCCTGACACTGACTGACTGAGGTTGCGGTCCTGCAGGACAGATCATTGAAATAAGGTTTGTACCGATGAGGATGACAGGACGAACACCCGAAGAGTTGAGCAGGTTGTCGGGGATGATGACAGTCTCTCCGACCGTGACAGGTTGGGGGTGAATGACTGCAGCTACTGGCGGCTGAGGAGAGGACACTCCTAGTACAGCACCTGCATGGAAATGAAGGAACACCATGTTAATATTAGGATTAGAACAGCTAATCTGTTAAATTATAAGTGTCATAAACCAGAAGACCCTGTATTAATAGTAGTGGCTGTTCTACTAATGTGTTAATACGTTCTAATGTAATTTATTTGGAACAATGCTGGTATATATATATATAACCGCAATTACATGATGCAGCAGAAATCTTCTTCAATACTGCAATTTAAAACCATTTCTGCTAGAAACTCTCCATCTGTATCTCCATGGAGATGTTCAGTGAATCATCCCTAACTACCAGAGAAAACCAGGGATGTTGCGTACTCTGTCCCCAAACCAGAGGAAGCAAAACAACATGGTCTCTGCTCCAAACAGCACAGAAACACACACACATGCACACACACGCACACACACYCACGCGCGCACACACGCACACACACGCACACACACGCACACACACAAACGGGGAAATTCACTAAAAGGGAGACATTTGACATTTTAAGGGCAATTTAAAATCCAGCTCACACTGACTCATGTAGAAAATATTACATGGCTTTAGGAACTGACCTGGGGAACAAACGACTGGTCGGATGGCTGGAACGGGGACGGCTGTTGGTGGGACCGGAACCAACGTGGTGGGATGCCAGCTCCGGTGGCGTTTCTTTGGTGGACCCGAGTTCATGACAGAAGATACTGAGGATCACAAACAGACACAGAGAACTACATTAAAATAGAAAATGGAGCAAAATGAATGTACGACATGTTGTGTTTCTACAGATATTCTAGTTTTCTCAGAGAAGAGAGGAAGGCTTACATGGACTGTCTCCTAAATCAGCAGGACGATACCCCTGAGCCTGAGGCCCTAAGGACACCTGGGACGGGCTCATTAAGGGAGGACGCCCATCGACACCCAGTCCGTTAGTTGGCCCGTTCACCCTCAGAGCTGTAGGTACTGGACACACACACACACACACACACACACACATTAATACACTAGAGACAGATCAAACTGTACATGTAACCCACAGATGTATTTAAAGATGGACAACATGGCATCTCTCCAAAAGTGAAGGCAAAATGTCTCAATCGCCACCTCGTGGCTTGCTGCAGTAAAGGTAATAAATCCTGCTTCCTCAATGTGAGTAGATGGATCACAAAATGTAATTAGACATTAAATAAATAGATAATTTCTGTCATTTTAGGTAGCTCTCATCACACTGATGTTTTACCCAGTGCTATTTGTTGGGGTAAGCTTGGTTTTAATTGATTATTTGATGTTATAAAAGGGGATGAAACATCATGATTGACAGCTGAAACTGACTCATGATTCGTCGAGCATGTATAAGGGAGGAACCTCGCTATCGCGGCTCCATCCCTAATCCCTACTGCTCAGACTCCGGATGTGCTAGATGGGGACTTTCCTTTTCTGGATATTTCAGCTTGATTTCTGTATAGCGGGAGAAGTTGTTGTTTTTGATCAGTCAATGTGGTGGACAAACTGACAGACCATAATTGCTAATTGCTAATTGCTAATCTGACAAAAAATATTAATGTTTATATTTTACTAAATACATAAATTTTAAATTTACTCACAGCTGAAAACAATACATAAACGTGTCAGTACTAACAGCGGCGTATTGATTTCCTTTATATGATCGTCAATGACCCCACTGGACTTTTTCCAATCTCATATTTACTGTGTAGGCAATTCACTAAAACATTGATCAGTATATGTAATCTTTGCTTGTCAATATCACAACCTTGCAAAGGGGCTAATGGATAGCAAGGCCTTAAAAAGTCATTACAGCATTCCTTCCTTCTGTATTGATTGGTGTGTAAATAAGTGCACACACACACAAACACACACACACACACACACACACACAGTCACGTGTTTGTGTGTGTGCGTCTAAACAGGACGTAGCAGAGCTTAATCTTTGCTCCACGGTCAGCCACAGATCCATCTGCCTCAGGTTGAACCACGTAAAAAAAACCTGTAGCTAAGCAACCTCTTTCAGTGTAAGGGCAAGGCCATTGAAGTGTCACTCACGTCAAGCCAAAGGCTTATCGGCATCTAAATGTTGGCAAATGCCGCTTTCAAAGCTCGGACGCAACTGGGAACGTACGAGTGTGACTAAAATGTATAGTTTGTTTTTCATATGATGGATGATTCAAATTCAGAATTAAATCTATTTGGCAATGGTATTCACTGATGAAACCATGCAAAAGCTACTGCTGTGCTGAAAAAGAGTTTCACCTATTGGTAGAGTTTTGTTTCCAGGTGTGGAGGATAGAGGTTTGAGGAAGCTGCAGTCTCTGCTGAGGTCCTGACCTCCGAAAAACACAGAGGATGCTTGCGTCGTTCTGGTGGGTGGCGAATCTAAAAATGAAAACGGACATATAACAGTGTTAAAAACACAAATAACACTTAAAAAGACCCTCACTCTCAAAACTAAAGCCTAAACTAACACCCACTGCTCCTCTGATCGGTACATTTGGACCAATCGTTCAGCCTTGGACTTCATGCTGCTTGTATGAAATGTGCTCTTCAGACTCCACGTCGTTTGCACAATACAAACAGGCCACTGCTCTGTTTTTCATTAATGATTCCAGGATAATTTGGCATGGAGGTTGCGAGGCTGCATGCTACAGTGTACAACCTCTCTCCTTTTTAACAGTGACCTAATCTGGGAGCAGGATGTACCCAAAGGTCGCAGTCAGGAGAGATTCCAGGAAAAGAGGTATCCCGACAACGAGCCCCGCAGCTCAGCAACCTAACACACTAATGTGTGAGATCTCTGCTGACAGACTGCTTCCAGATTCAGAACAAATCAATACCATAAGCCCAGGAGCCTTTTTTCAATCAAAGAGGAAAGAGGCGCTGCTGTTGTGACAAGTCAGAGAACATCTTGTACTTGAAGAGAGGCAGGATATTTCTCCTGGTCGTATGATTCAGGCTTAAATTCATCACATTAGTGCTGAAAATTCATCCTCTTATGACAAAAACATTTCATGAAATGTCGATTTCTCTACTGAATTGTGCATCTGAAATGTATTGAATTGTTTTTTTAATCTGAAACTGTTCTGATATAGGCAACAGATAGTAGATAGCAGTAATAATAGTTGCTCATAATAGTTGCGATAAGATATTATGAGATACTGGAATAATGCATCAAAGAGCCTGTTTGTCACAACCTAAATCCTGAACATCCTTATCCACATGTCAGACTGTGCTCACCTCACAAGTTTCAGGGCTCAGCCACCACAACCTGTCGCTATGGCAACAACATAAACCTGTCACTGATGCCAACATACGTAACGACTATTTTTGGTGAAATATATATTTCATATCGTCAATTGAGGGAGAACACAGGTTAAATATTTTGGAAAAGTTTGAATTAATGTGTAATACAATTGTTTCAGCTTGAATCGTGTGCATCGGTGTCGTTGTTGTTGTACAGTCTCACCTGAGAGGGAGAAGGGAGAGGAGCTGTGTCCACTGGTGCCTCCATTTTCTTTACTGCTGAGAGAGGAGGACGAGCTGAGTTTGGAGGTGGACGCGTTGCTGGACAACTGACGGGTTTTACAGTCTGAGAGGAACAACAACAACAACAGTGAGTCACTGTGTGTATACAAGCTCATCATCAGAGGATAAATCACGATCACAGAGATTTGAAAAGCTCAGATTTAGGTTCGGTTTTTTTACCTTTCCAGCAGATGAGGGGTCCTTTGCACAGAGCACCATGAGAATTCTTCACCAGGTAGTTTTTTAAGTGCTTCTGCTTCTTGGGCTGGGTGGATAACTTCAGGTTGATGTGGTTGGAAAACTCAGTGAAGTATCTGAAACCCTTTTCACCGCAGCCCACACAGTTTCCTGAAAAACCTGCAGGTCACATAATAAGATTATTGCATGATTTAAGAAACATAATTACTAATCCAGTGTTTGACTGAATTCATTCTGCCAGGAACTTTAAACATATCTGCTCTCTGACTCCTTCACTCTCATCTCAGATCAGATCACGTGGGAACAGACTGACCTAAAAGTGCATTTTTCCCGTTGTCGTCAGGCAAAAAGCGGCGGTCCACAGCGCACACCAGGATGTGCTCGGGGACGCTGGGGGACTTGGCTCCCACCAGCTCGAAGCCTGCTGGGACTTCGATGGGCTCTGTTGCTATGGAGTCCAGGCGCAGGTCTTTGCCCGCCTGACAGAACCCTGAGAGAGGAGGAAGAAGCAGATGAGTGATTTAAAAAAAAAAGGGGTCGAGCTTTCAGTTTATCTGTTAATCAGTAAAAAAAAAAGAGATTTTAGAGTGTGGATTAAGGCGTGCTGGTTGGTGGGGGGGTTACCGTCCAGTGTGCAGCAGCCATCTGGTGCAGGTGCCTGCAGGTAGGGGAGCGGAGGGCTGCTGCTGTCGGAGTCGTCGTCATCCTCCGGCTCCTCGAGATCGTTGGACGAGTGACCGTTGATGAGGCCGTGGCCCGGGGGGTCCACGCCATGGATTTCAGCTTTCGGCTTAATGTCTGAAAAAGGTTTTTAATCACATTACAGCCTGATCACAGCAACAATCTATTTTATTGATTTTTAAATGTTTAAATAGGTTAAATAATACACAAATGAATATTTATGTCGATTTAATGGAGGAAATGATTTATATCAAATTACAGTTTCTAGGATTTATTAGCAAATAAAGACCTATAAAGTCAAGTACTAGTGAGATCCAACACGATCGGGGCTTTGACTTGATATTTCGATGTTGAGAATGTATCAGCAGAGATGACTGACAAAATAAACGGTAATTTCATGGAAGAATTCAGAAAATCATTTACTTATACTGCAGCTGATCAGACACAGAAACACAACATTTAGAAATTCTGGGTGACCCTAAAACTAATTTGATTTGAAGCACTTGTCACTGGGAGAACTACCCTACCTTCCATGTTTCCAGGATACGGCTCCGGCTCCAGGTAGAGCTGTGTGAAGATGGGCTGTGGATCTCCGCTGCTCGAACGCAGTGAAGCCTCAATCGAGTTGTGGAGGACCTCTTCAAATCGAGCAGACTTCAGCTGCCCGGCATATGAATTCCCCATTATCTGTGGAGAAGACATGCACGGTCACGATGCTGTTCATCTCTGTTCACTGATTAGATCCTCGGATAAGAGTGGCTCTGCAGACTGCAAGACAGTAACAGGTGTCTCAAGCAAATGATCTTTTCAAATGAGACAAATGCGTTTTTTGGTGAGGAGAGATTTTACCCTGGAAATGGATTTGATAGAAAATGCAAATGTGTTTACAGTTTACCAGAAACATGAGGATACATCAGCTGATATGAGCCTTTCACAGACATATTGGTATCTGTGTTTATGTTTGCTCATATGAAAACTTTTATTTGCAGATGCAGACAATGCAGAAAACTAAAGGTGTGCATTGTCTGCATGGTTTAAAATCGGTAAATAGAATCAACCCTCAATCTGTCAGATTGTACTTGCAGTGTCTAATAAACAGGTTAATAATACTTATACTCAAAGTAAGTGCACGTGTATGCAGAGTAGGAAGAATTTGTTTCTGCCTCTAAAATGTGATTTGCTGTTTCAATAATGGATTCAAGCTTATTGTTAAAGAACTGGCTCCTTGGTTGGATTATTCATTTTCAATAAACTCTGGGTTCTAGGACACTGTGAAGCATTTCACACTATTTTTGAAATCTCGTTAACCAGTTAATTAAAAAAAAAAAGTTGATTTATTAATTATGATAATAGACATTAGCTGCAGCTGTTTGGTTTGTACTGTATTTTTTTGTGTCTTCTGCCATAATAAATCATTCCAAAAACAGATGTAGGTCCAAACTAAATGAGTGATATCTAGACCACACACACACAAACATAACAGCCAAGGCCAATGGCTTTTCCCTGTGTTTTTTTTTTTTTTGCTCCGTCTGTCCATGCTTTACTTGGCCTGCTCTGCCCCTGTGCCCCCTCCACCCCAGTGTCCACTGTGGGACATCTGCCGGGGTCGGCTGTGTGGGCCCGGGGTCTGCTGGCTGGCTCTCTGGTGGCAGGTGGCAGCAGGACAGAGAGCCGAGCATGGACTCTCAAAGAGGACAGATGTAGAAGAAAGAGGGGAAGAGAGAGCGTGACAGACAGACATAAAAGCTCAATGGGTCAGTTCATTAAAACATCTTCCAACTCAAACTCCCACTTTTAAATTTGTCAAAACATGTCACCAGATCTGTTTTTAATACCAAACCCACGATCAAGAGTTTTCAAAGGATGAAAAGCTGAAGAAGAAAATAAAGGGAGGGTTTTGGCTGCTTTCCTGCTGCAGACGTTTAGCCTTCCATGCTTGTCCTTGGAATACATTTGACAGGTGCAGACCAGTGTTGTGGTTCATAAACATTGAAACAGTCAAGTGGAGAGACGCAGGTTACAGACTTCAGCTGTCTGGAAAAAGCTCAACCTCCTCGTTCTGACCTAACATAGACAGATCGTCTGTAGCTGCTGAGCCAGGACAAGGTTACAAGTAAACTCTGACTGTATTCAGTTTTATAAGTGACCTAAACTTGAGCTCAGGATTTAGTTACGTTTTAACTGCCCTTTCATAGCACACACAGCATCAGCGCTGGATCAGCTTTTAAACAGTGTTCGTTTCGTTAGGGGCTGAATGTGAAATGTAACAACACATTTGCCAAATGAAAACATGACACAAAACACCAGAATGAAAATAACTAATATAGAAATGAGAAATCAAAAAGACCGTCAAAAAGCGTGACAGAAAGTGAAAAAAATAATTCCTGGAAGCGCCCCCCTAAACCGGATCCACATCAAAATTGGCTTTTTCCCTGATCAATACAACCAAATCCCTCCAGCAAGTTTCGTGGAAAACCAAATCCAAGACAAGCACGTGGAGATGAAGACACAACCTCCTTGCATGGCGGAGATAATAAAATAGAATAACTGAAGCTATTTAACTCCTAACATATAGTTTCTTTATCAACAAAGGGTCATCAAGCAGTCAAATATCTATTCAAGATGCCAAAAAGGTTTAGAATTGTGTTGTTTTGTCCCAAAACCCGAATATTCTTCATTAAGAGTTTTGCTTGGTAAAGGTTTTAACACAGTCGTCAATCTAATCTAATGATTAAACATATTTTTTGTCAAAAACACGTTTCATCTCTTGTTTCTATTCCCCTGACTTTTTATCTTTAATTAGCAGGGTGGGAATGCAGTCGTCTTTCTGGTCCTGACCTTGCCCACACCTGAACAGGTTCCAGACCCTGTGTTTACCTAACAACCTTCCTGGGGAGGAATCCGACCAACCCAGACAAAAGACAAGATTAACAGTGCCTGACTGTGCTGTTGAAGAGATAAGCAGCTTAACAGAATGAAGCTACAGTATTTCTTGCTTAACTGATGGAGGAAGGTGGCCAGGGCTGCAGTGAGAAACAATGACAGAAGGGGTTAAAGAAAAAAAAAGAAAACGAGTGCCTGAGGGCGTTTTTTAAGCAGCCGCTGCCTGTTCGATCATGAAGTTAAAGGAGGCTCCGGAGGCCTCTTTAGCAGACTGACCCTCGAGCCTCGGAGGACAAGTTTGTCATTAACCTTGCGCAGACCGGAGGTGAACACAGAGAATGACCTTTTATCACCTGCACAACGTAAAACAAAGCGTGACCGTGGCAGAGGTCGCCTGACGGATGTTTCTGGGGTGTGACTCAGGTGGTTGCTAAGGTCAGCTGTGGTGGAGAGGGGGGAGGTGGTGAGTCAGCAGCGGCTGTTTGCCTGATAGATGGTCAAACACGAGTGGGTGGGGACGCAATGCTCAAAGTGGCTAATGGCTAAAAAAGGGGAGCGTTCATGTGAGCGAGTGGTGACTCTGCAACAGTCAGATGGTCAGTCAAGGCCATTCCTCTCCTCCTGGGTGGCATCAACAGATTGCATGAATCCGACACCGGTTCAGAATAAGCTACACTGATCTACACTCACTGAACTGAGACGAGCAGCCAAGAAGAAAATATGAGGAAAAAATAACAAAACAAGGGGACTTACGCTGTCAGATCGTTCCCAGGCGTGAAGGGACTTGTTCACCTCTGCTACATGCTGGGTCACTAACACTCAGCAGAAACTATCAGAGAATAAACTTCTCTCAGAGCTTCCAGACCTGGGGGAGAGAAGAGAGATCTGTGATTAGCTCACACACTGACACTATCAGTGACACAGACAAACACAGATGAATCATTTTGGACCCTTTTTTATCTCAGTCACCTGTATAATAGATTCTAGGACCTCAGTTAAATCTAATTAACAACTGAAATAACCTCTTACGTTATGTTTTGAGCACATACATTTGTTTGTTGTTTAGTTACAGGGTGAGACATAATAAATAATAGACTTCTATGACATTTTTGCCAGTTTCCCAGGGAATAATGCACAAATCTAAATGAAAAGATTAAGCATATTTAGGGGACTGATATCGTGTGTGATTTTGGGTGTGTTTGAACGGAAGGATACTGTTGGGCCTTGGAGGAGGTTTACACTCCAGTGAGTCTTATTTTAGTTTTATACATTTTAAGAAACAATCTTTTCTTTAAGTTTTATTACCCTGGACAATAAGTCACATTAGTAAAATATTTATTTTGTCATGGTGTATTAGTGCTTCACAAAGAGGTCAAATAATTGTGTCCACCT